TCTTTCCTTCAGGATTTTACCATGAAGTTCAGGTATAATGTAGTTCTTGTGTCAGCATTTAAGTTTATATTCATCTGTCTTACTGTAGCTACACTTTTATGTTTGTCAAAGGTTATGGCGAGTGTTCTATCATCTGACGGGAAGCAAGATCCAGATGTATTGGCAACTAATGCAACATCAGCTGCTCTTATGTTATCAGATATTCCATGGGGAGGACCCATTGGAGTCATCAGAATAGGAAGGATTTGTGGGCAGTTTGTTGTCAATCCAACCATGGACGAGGTAAACTTTTTCTAACACATGACCTTGAATATGTAACTTTTTTGTCATTCGTGATAATTTATGATGAATGGAATCTAAACAGCTCAGCTCAAGCGACCTCAACTTGGTATATGCCTGTACAAGGGATAAAACTATGATGATAGATGTTCAGGCTCGTGAGATCTCTGAGAAAGATCTGGCAGCTGCTCTTAGACTAGCTCATCCAGAGGTGACATACAAAGCTTCATTTGAGCTCTTTGTACAATGTAATATGATTATCTTGGCATTTTAACTTTTCTTTGTGTAGGCTAGCAAATATCTTGAGCCCCAAATAAGGCTTGCTGAAAAAGCTGGGAAACAAAAGAAGGAATATAAATTGTCAATGATTTCTGAGAAAACTTTGGAAAGAGTTGGCGACTTGGCTGCAACTCGTATTGAATCAATCTTTACCGATCCCTCTTATGGCAAGGTGCATGTTTACTAATTTTCTCCCGAAAGTTTGATTTTCTTGGTTTTCCTTCATTGATCATAGGTATCCAATTCGAAATATGTGCTCGATTGTTTACCAGAGATTTTCATTTTAAGAGCTGATGATTTTCTGGATCCAGTTTGAACGTGGGGAAGCATTAGATAACATTGCCCAAGATGTGAAGAAAGTATTTGAAGAAGAGGGTGATGAAGAAAGCTTGAAAGTTCTACCGAAGGCTGTTGATACAGTGAGGAAAAAGGTTAGCCATGTAACAAATAGTATCTCCTGAAGAATGACATATGCTTATGCACACCTACTGTTCTGATGGTTTTGGGAAGGCATTCTTGGTTCAAACGAGGAAACACTTGTTTCACCTCAAATATTTGTATCAAGCTTAGGTCACACTGTACCATGTTCATTGGTATTCAAAAAATCAATTCTTTATTTTTGTCAATGAGAAGTAACGAGGTCACTGTGGCTGGTTAGATGCATTTAGTTAGAGGGACCTAACAGTTCTGAAAAATTATATAATTAATCTCGCTGATGAGTTGTAGGCTTGATATTTGTATCTGTGGACTCTTTGTCTTACTAAATTGGTGTTTTAACAGGTAGTTCGTGCAAGGATGATATCGGATGGATTCAGAGTTGATGGCAGACACCTTGATGAAGTGAGGCCCATTTACTGTGAAGCTGGTCATTTGCCTGCATTGCATGGATCAGCACTTTTTTCGCGTGGTGATACGCAGGTCAGTATATATGGCATGAAACTTCAGTGGGAGAATAGCACCTTGCCCCTCTCCAGACGTGTAAAGAAAAGAATAAAGAATAAGAAATGTTGCAGTTTTTTTTTTGGGCGAACTTCTGAAATTTTTGCATTACCTTACTGTGCATCATTGTCATGAAATGCTTTCATTCAAGAAGCTTTGTTTCTGTCTTTTTCCAGGTGAAAAGGTCTCACGCTTTTTTGTTAGCTAGAAATTTTGTATTTGTTTGCGGTGCTTGTGACAAGTTGAACTTTTTCTCTGCATTTATCTGAGAACTACTGGAGAATTCAAACTAAGGTCTTTCACTCGAATTTGGCTCATTTACTGTGTCTTGAAGGTGCTCTGCACTGTTACGCTTGGTGCCCCAGGAGATGCACAAAGTTTGGATTCCGTTGTTGGTCCGCCCAAAAAAAGATTCATGCTTCACTATAGTTTTCCTCCATTTTGTACAAATGAGGTTGGCAAACGTGGTGGCCTTAATAGGCGTGAAGTTGGTCATGGTAGATTCCCCTTCCCTTTTCTGTAGAATCACTTGAATCTGTCGGTAAAGTCTGCAGAAGCCTGTTCTTTCCCCCTCTTCCACATTTTTCATGTTGTTGTCAATTTTCATTCCTAGCAAATCCCGGTACATATTGTATCCTCTCATTTCCTATCTGTTTGTGCATGTCATGATTTCTCTCTACCTACTAAAGTATTACTCAACCTTGTTTTCCTCTTGTCATCAGTCTTATAGAGTTTAGACAGCTTCATGTGTGTAGTGTGTTGTTGCCATTTTTGCGGTTTATAAGATCATGACCTTTTTTGTGTTTTGTGCATTAATGGATTTTATGTTCTCTGCAGGAACGCTTGCTGAGAAAGCATTGCTTGCTGTCTTGCCTCCTGAAGAGCTTTTTCCATATACTGTACGTATAAATTCAGAAGTGATGGCCTCAGACGGATCCACATCAATGGCAAGTGTTTGTGGAGGTAGCTATCAGCTTGAACGTTTTACCAGTGATATAGCCTTTGCAATTTTCGGGTTTCCTTTTTTCTTCCCTTTTTTTGGGGTTTGGTCCTGTTATTTCCTCCAAAAACAAGGGACAATAGAATTGAAACAACTAAACAAGGAGCACCCGGCTTCTGTCTTTCGCAAAGTCAACACAAACCATCCTCTGTTTCTACTCTACACAGAGACTGAAATTGTAACTTGTTTTCCTTTTCTCAGGTAGTATGGCATTGATGGACGCAGGAATTCCTCTACTTCATCATGTTGCAGGTGTTTCTGTTGGTCTTATCACTGATGTTGATCCATCAAATGGAGAAGTAAAAGACTACCGTATAGTAACTGATATTTTGGTGGGTTTTTAAGTTTCCTTTTTTTAATCTGTCGACTATTTATTGTAATCTGTATGATGGTCCAATTGCTGAAATCTGAAGTAGAAGTTGTTCAGTAGTTTCCTTATCGGTCCATATGTTATTCACAGCCTTCAGAACTATATACTCCCCCCCCCCCTTTTCCTCTTTCAAATCTCTATGTGCATTTGGTTTATAATTTGCCATCCTCATGTGATCTGTAGGTAGAATTATGTTGCAGAATAGAATTGATGCAAGATTGTTAATTTATTTCAGGGTCTGGAAGATCATTTGGGAGATATGGATTTCAAGATTGCTGGTACACGAAATGGTGTGACTGCAATTCAGTTGGATATAAAGCCAGCTGGGATCCCTTTAGACATAATTTGCGAGTCCTTAGAACATGCACGCAAAGGCCGTCTTCAGATTCTTGACCACATGGAGCGAGAGATAAATGTTCCACGACCCCAGGATGATGTTTATTCTCCTCGACTAGGTTCTTTCCCAGCTCATTCATTCACCCTAGGATGACCAATATATCTTCCTCTTGAACTTAAGGATGCCATCTTGTGTGCAGCTACGTTGAGATACACCAATGATGCTCTTCGCAGCTTGATTGGGCCTATGGGTTCTCTCAAGAGAAAGGTTGAAGAGGAGACAGGTCATCTCTCAGCTCCATGACACCTCTCGCTAATTGTTAAGGCTTCATTACGATGCAGTCATCAGTATGAGCTTAAAATTACAAAGCTGTACCTTTATTGTGGCATGTAAAAAAGTTTATGAAATAATTCTCCATGTGTTTCTCTGTAATTGGATTTGAAGCTTGTCTGTGTAATTCTTTCTTTGCTCCTGATTCGCAATTTTTTCTGTTCAGGTGCAAGATTGTCTGTAGGGGATGGAACACTTACTATCGTTGCCAAGAATCAGACTGTGATGGAAAAGGTTCAAGAAAAGGTATCTTTAATCAGCTAAGCTGCTTATTGGTCCATGATCATCCTCTTTTCTAGGTGTCTCGTGCATTGTATAACAAAGATTATATTTCCACATCTTATACAATATTCTCATACTGATTAGATTTTCTTATCTTATGAATAACCTTAGATTGACTTCATAATTGGACGTGAAATTGAAGTCGGTGGTATATATAAAGGTACAGTAACAACTATTAAAGAATACGGCGCCTTTGTGGAGTTCAATGGTGGTCAGCAAGGGTTGCTACATATTTCCGAGTTGTCTCATGATTCTGTAAGTCAAAAGAAAAGCCTATTACTGTTGAACCATATCATATGGAACACTAACTGTTTCGTGATAGCATCGATCGAGCTGACCAATTATTACTTTAGTTTTGACACAGGTCATTGTGTAGATTATTATCTTAGTTTTGATAAATGTTGAATGGGGAAGGAAAACTATGAATGTTTCACCGACAAGACAAACATGCAGTATTATATTTGGGTCGAAGACAAGCTTGTGTTTTTCTTATCTCTGCCATTTGTCCAGCCTGGAATTAGTGAACTTGTTATATGCAATTAATTGTACTGTTTTGACAAATATTCGTGTCTTTCATTTCCTCCAGGTTTCCAAGGTTTCTGATGTGGTATCAATTGGACAGCAGCTCTCTATGATGTGCATTGGGACGGATGTCCGTGGTAATATTAAGTTATCCCTCAAAGCAGTGTTGCCTCGGCCAGCCTCAGACACCAAAAACCTGGTTAAGGAGTCGTCTCCACTCCCCAGAGAAATGTCTGATGCTGGGGAGACAGCCCCAAGCGCAACTAACGGCAAAGAGGGGCAGAAGTCTAGTCCAAAGAATTCAACTAAGGGCAAGAGTCCAGCAACACCAGCTGTTGTCATCCGAAGTGCTGCTGAGTGTGATGAGGCAGAAAAATCTGCCTGCTTGGATACTAACACTGAAAACAGCACAAAACCCTCCAAGACAGTGAAGCAGAACCGTAAGGTCAAATCCGCTTCTCCCAAAGATGACACCCTCCTTTCGATTCTGTCTGATTCTAAGCTATTGACGTCTGCAAAAGCGAAGATAACATCCCAGAAAGACAAACAGTCTGAGAGTGAGGCTGAAGACCGTAGTACTTCCATGAATGCTCAGAAGTTGAAAATAGGAACAGAGGTGACAGCCAAGGTCAGTCAGGTTCGAACCCGCGGATTAGTTCTTGATTTAGGTGGTGGAATCCGAGGGATGTACAAATTCGAGGTATGGTTTAGTGTGTTCCCATTTTAAGATACTCTGCCATGTTCCTGAGAAATTTCCTCAAAACATTTGCTGTAAATGAGTGCAAATACTTGCATAACATTGGTGATTATGACTGCAGGACGAAGAAGAGACAGATTTTGAGTTGGGTGACACAATGCGGGTGAAATGTACGAGTTTTACTGGCAAAGGAATACCCGTCATGTCTTTGGTCGAAGAGGATTAGGGTGAGTTTTCTTTCCCCTGTGACTAATGAAATATGAGGGGCTTTTTTTATATATATATTTCTGGAAAGCATTGGGGGAATTGGTCTGGTCTAGTTACCGAGATAAAAGCGTGAGGGAGAGAGCGTTCATCCGTTGGGAGTTTTGGAGGAATAAGTTTTATCTTTCTACTTGAGGAGGTTTTGTTTGCCGGAGAATACTGTAACCTGCGGAATGTGTTCCAAGATTAAGGTAATAACCACTAGTAGTGGTGGTAGACAGGACCTAAGTTTCTAACCAGTGATGCTCTCGTGTATTATTGCTTCCCTTTCTGAAGACTGAAATTATAACTTAGTAGGGGCACTCCTCGTTTTCGCTCTAAGGAAGTTGTGTTAGAGTGTGACGTGAGCGGTGGTGGTGATATGAATGAATGGCTTGCTCGAAGGAAAGTGATGGAATGCTTGACGTTTGTCGATTCTAGAGGCGAACTACATGGCGTTTTGACACAACGGGCTGGCCCAGCCAATATAAAGATTAGGCCGCCATTAGTGTTTGGCCCATCTAAAAATAAGAATCGGCCCATGATGGTTAAAACAGGCCTTCACCGGACCCACTCCGTTGCGATTGGGTTAGGTAGGACATCAACTAACCAGTGGTTGACAAATCAAACATTTCACCCTTATTTCTGTTGGCAAGTATATTATTAAGTCGTTCCCCTAATTAGTTAGTATCTGACGCACACGTTGCTTTGCTTTGGGAACTAAAAGAAAAATTAGCAATTATGTGGTTTTCCAATGTGTGAGACAGTCTGATACTAAAAAAACCGTATTTATGTCATAACATTTCTTTGTTATTTTCATTCATTAGTAATTATATGCTAAACAGTCACCCATAAAGGGAAAAAAAAGGTAATTAATTCTAGTGATATTCTTGTCGAATTCAAACTCAAAGGATCTAGCGAATAAAGAAAAGGGAAAAGCAAAAGGAAAAAAAATGATATAATGATGAGAATACGAATCACTCAGGCCGAGCTTCCCAGCTACTCCAACTGGCCTCTCTCTCTCTCTCTCAGTTTCTTTTGTCTTACACGTGTTTCCCCTCTGGGATCTCGAGCTTCTCGTTGTTGCTCTTGCTTTCGACGCCATCTTCCATTTACTTCGCTTGAATCGACCCAGTGATCTCTGCTTGGATCTTCGATGATCGGAGACTCTCCCACTGCCCGTCTCATCCCGTTCCAGGGATCGAAAATTGTATGTTCTCGAGACTGACTAAGATTCTGTCAGATGCGAACGGGAGTCAACGGTGTCTACAGTTTCTCTCTCGCATTCCTTTTCTTCACTCCGTCTGGTTGCCTGTGAAACCCTATTTCCCCGAAGCAAATGGCGGGAAATTCCACTTGAGCTGGAATTGGAAACTTGGGATTTTGCTGAAATGAAGAGGAAGGTAACACCGCAGAAATCTCTATTCAAATGCAAGAGGAAGCTAATGGTCCTGCTGCTATTTGCTTTTTGCTTGGCGAGTTTCGCCTTTATGCAAGCTCAGTACAGTGGAATCATGGCGTCATTCGATTCGTTGAAGCCTCGTCTAGTTCAGACACCGAAGGTTGCCTTCCTTTTCATCGCTCGGAACCGGCTTCCTCTCGATATCGTCTGGGATGCATTCTTTAAGGTATGCGTCTCACTCTATCTCTCTAAAATTTGGTTCGGAAACTTTAGTGTTGGGGAAGGTTGGTTTGTAGATGATAAAAATTCTAGACCTTGCGGACAGATAACGAGCTTAATATGCTTTAGTCGCGTAGCCAATAGTAGAAAGCACGGGGGATCAAGCAATCGCTCTTCATGAGGGATTGACATTCTTCGTGTTTTCTGTCTTGATCTCATTGTGAAAGTTTAGGCGAAAGTAGAGTTTGCAAAAATCGGACATTTAGCGATGTTGTCTACATGCAGATGCATCTTCTTAGTGATAATCGGTGTAAAGAATGATTTACAGGCCGATGAATTGCTGATCATAGCTATGCTTTTGTCCATGTAATGCGTATTTTCACATGTTTGCAGGGGGGGGAGGACAACTTCTCCATCTTTGTTCACTCTAGGCCTGGATTTCTTCTCAATGAGGCAACAACTCGGTCCAAGTACTTTCTGGATCGCCAAGTTAATGATAGTATACAGGTTGAGCACAGCAAAGTTACCAAGTTATGAACTTTTCCTTTATGTTTTAAAGAAGATTTCTCTTATTATTTACAGGTAGACTGGGGAGAGGCAACCATGATTGAAGCAGAACGTATATTGCTCAGACATGCGCTTAGAGATCCTTTCAACCATCGATTTGTTTTTCTGTCTGATAGGTGAGATTGATTCTGGGAGTGACTTTCCGTGTCTGTATCTGCAGTACTAAGTTTCTTGAAGTAAATTGATAGTGATGTGGTTTGATGATTTCTCTAACTAACTATCAGTTCACTGGTTTCTTCTCAGCTGCATACCTCTCTACACTTTCAGCTACACATATGACTACATCATGTCAACTTCAACTAGTTTCGTCGATAGGTTCGTATGTGTTTGTGAATTATTCTGCCTATTGTTTGTGGTTTATTACTTCTCACCTACCCACTTACATCTCAGGAAAAGATATCTGTTTGATTCACATATGTGAGAAGTTGCAGATTGTCACATAATGGAATGGATCAAGCTGTTATTTTTTTTTTCACAAAACAATCTATTTGCAGCTTTGCAGATACAAAAGAGGGTCGCTATAATCCTAGAATGGATCCCATAATTCCTGTTCATAACTGGAGAAAAGGATCACAGGTGAAATTCTGATCCTTTTTTCCGCAGAATTGTTTGCTAAAAGAGTGGAAACATCCTTTTTCTGAACTTCTCCAGTTTCATGTCTTCTATATTCCTTGTTTCTTTATGCATTGTCTTCTTGGCAGTGGGTTATTTTGAACAGAGAGCACGCGGAGATAGTGGTGAATGATACCACTGTAATTCCGATGTTTCAGCAGCACTGCAGGGTAAGTTGTTGCAATCTTCATTGCATTAGCGAACTAAAAAAAGACCTCAAACGTAATTATATGGTATGTTGTCCGAAATGCTACTGAATTTTTTTTAGGATGTTTCGTATCTTTTTTGATAGATAACAGTAATATACATTGTCTGCAAACTTTTGCAGTTTGGCTGTGAAGGATGGCTTAGAATCAATAACATTGTATTGAGTGTTGTTATGAGAGTTACTCCCTTTTTGTTTTAGTATCAGAGTTGGTGAGTTGATCAGTATTACTTATTCCATTTTTTACTTGAACTTGCAGAGGAAATCACTTCCTGAGTTTTGGCGTGATCGTCCCGTGGTGAGTTACTGGTGCAGCATAAACACGAGAAATCCCTTGAAAAGCCCATTGCTTCTGAGAATGCAGAAATTCTAAGCTTCTTGAGTTTGTTGATTCTAGAAGAAGAAACTCTTCTTTGTATTATGCGAATAAAATAACGGCTACATAACCCTAGCAGTGAACCATTACTTCCTCTACAACAAAGGCTGGCGAAGAAAGAAACAAATAGTTTTGCAAACTAAGTGCACAAGTACAATGATGCTTAGGCAAGATAGTTGTCTTTTGGGGTCACTAATCATAGTTTCTAATGCAGCCGGCTGAAGGTTGGAAGGAGCACAACTGCATACCTGATGAGCACTACGTCCAGACATTATTGGCTGTAAGATGAATGTCTTATCCAACAACATGGGTACTTTGCTTTTCAAGCAAAGGGCTTGAAGTCCTAAGTTTCATCACTCTGAAGCTCTTCAAATCTTTTCTAATTTCAGCAAGAAGGTCGTGAAGGAGAACTCACTCGGAGGTCACTGACATACTCAGCATGGGACCTTTCGTCCTCCAGAGAGAATGAACGCCGTGGATGGCATCCTGTCACTTACAAGTTTGTCGATGCTACTGCTGAACTTATACAATCCATCAAGGTACGCATAAGAAGATTTCTAAGATTTAAACTGGTATATTCAGTGTTCTTCGTCTCTTCCTTTTGGCTATAGATATCTTTTGGTCATACAGATGTAAGATAAAACTATAATTTCTTTAGGCATACAGATGCAGATAGTTTAAGTGGGATTGGTTCTGTGATTTGAAGAAATCATATTCCCAAAAGAGAGAGAGAGAGAGAGAGAGAGATCTTTGCCATGAATTTGGTCTATATAACTGGTTACTTTGCAGGCTGTAGACAATATCTACTACGAGACGGAGTACAGGAGAGAATGGTGTAGCAGCAAAGGGAAGCCATCCCCATGCTTCCTCTTTGCTAGGAAATTCACTCGTCCTGCTGCTCTACGCCTTCTCAATGACGTAAGCTTACTTCAACACTTGTAGATTTTTAGGAAGCAAGTTAATAATGATGACGTGTTTCGGACAGGGAAGAATTAACCTGGAAAATAGGTAATGTGAACGAGAGGAATAAATACAATATGGATTAGTAGTATAGAGCAATTGCTTTGGGGGGTGGGATGCTGTTCCTATGTGGTCCAATTGCTTTTGAGTGGAGCCGACATTAAACTCATGATTTTTGTTTTGGGCAGTCTATATTGTTGCGAGGCAACGAACAGAAGAATTGAGCCCTGACCCCTCCAAGGGGGAACGTGTAGAGTGTGTAGTTCCGACAGTAACAGCATATACAAATACAATTGTCGTGTAAACCTGGGACTATAGATGAAGGGACCTGAAATTTATAGAGGAATAAATGGATATGTATTACATTTTTCCTTTTGTTATGTGTTTTACTATTTATTTATTGTTTCTCATCATAAACCTGAAATTGTGTTTATTTTCTGATTTGTTTTTAAATTGTTAATATATCAAACCAGAATCAGCCCATTAAACCCGAAGCCGAAGCCAATGGGCCCTGAAGCCCATCAGAAATACAAAACCTCGCGTCTTCACTCGCAAACCCACTCTGGTGGCGGTGACTCTCTCTCTCTTTCTCGTCAATTCAAAATTCTTTCGTTTTCTCTCGCCGGCGTTTTCGGATTCTCAATTTGCAAACCCTAGCATGTTTCCGCCTTTCTCCGGAGGATCGTAAACCCTATAGTTCGTCGCCGGTTCCTCTCGCGATTTTTCATGCCGAGGCACTACAGACCACCGGTAAGAGTCTTTCTTGGGCATTTTTTTTTCTTTGATTTTGTCTCTACGATGTTTTTCGCCGATCGACGACCAAAACTCAACAAATCCTTCTAAAAACACAACAAATCGCTCGGCGAAAGATTTTTCCGAGAAAGTGCGAGAAATCCAAGAAATCGAATCAAACAACCTAGATTTTAGATAGATTTAGAAATTCAACCAAACCAATGTAAACCTACAAATTAACGAAATGACGGAACACCAAACACCTGAAAACAAGACTGAGAGCCTGATATCGTTCTCTACTTGATCATAAGTGCTTCAAAGGCAGAGGCGGAATCCATTTTGATCTCCTTGTATTGTTTATACTCCACGGCTGAGATCGCCGATCGACGATCTCTAAACACCCCACCTATTCCAAATTTCAAATGGGAAGCCGGTGGAAATGTGTTTATATTTGGGCTTGTAGGTTTAAGGGCCTTAGAGATTGAGCCCAACTACAGTTTCCGTGGAGAAAATATCCTCTGGGTTTCGCCCTACCTACATTTATATTATTCCCTAAAGGATTTTAAATTTTAAAACAACATAAATCGACAACAGAAGAAAAAGACGAAAACAAATAAAAGTGTGTCAGTTTGCAGAAGAATGGAAACTCAGAGAAAATGACCAGCCACGTGGCAGATTCGGAGCTAATAAGAGCTACAAACGCGCACAGGCCTTCTTCTTCAAGCTCCGGACCCATAGCCTCAATTATGAGGAGCCGAAGCCATGAACGAGAACAAAGGTCAGCATTTTCAACTTGCCATCTCTCTCTCTCTCTCGTTTGAGCTGTATCTTTTTGGATAAAGACAATTTTGATGTAAAAATATATGTCAATATGTGTGAGTATGTACGGAAAGCAGCTTGGATTGATTAGTTCTTCACGAAACGCGGAGCTCTTTAATTGGAAGCCGATTAGCTCAATCTCTTTGGTTTTATAAAAGACATCCAAATCCATACGGTTTCAGTATCGATCAAACGTAAGCTAAAGTCTCTCTCTTTCTCTTTTTAAATTCCATTTTGTTTGCTTATACGTTTTTTTATGTCCTTCGAATTTGTACTTTTTTAAAGGATTGTATTCCCTTTTGTCGATCTTGCTCTTCTTTTTGTTTCGGGATTGGATTTGATTTTGATTTTGATTTTTGGAGCCCTCGATTTGCCCGTATCAGTGTTCATATTTTATATTCGTTTGGTAAAGGGTTGGTGTTTGTGTAAATCCTTGACGGGTATGCATTTGGTGTGTGGTTTGTGGTGAAGCTGGAGAAGAAGAGAGGAAAAGTCGATCCAAAAGGGATGCCTTTGAACGTAGTTCATGATGGCGATGGATCGTCCCGTATCATTTTGACGGAGCCAAGCGGATCTACTGCGGAGGTTCGATTCTTTCACCCATTCTCTTCCCCAATCTGGCTGTGTGTTCTGTTTGAATTTGATCATCGGAAGGATAGTTGATGAAATGCTGGTGACTGGGAGAAGTGTGGAAATGAAAGCCCGTTTGAAGATATTTTGATTTCAGTAGTTGTTTTTGGCGATATATGATGATGTGATTGCCGTTGTTGAATCTGGGTTGTTTTCGGCATACAACGGTTGTAATGATCAGGGAAAACTTTGTGGGGAGCCTTAAAATCACATGGAAATGGTTTCAGGTGCTTCTCCATGGAGGACAGGTTGTTTCTTGGAAGAATGAAAGAAGAGAGCAACTGCTTTATATGAGCAGCAAGGTAAAGTGAGATCCAAATAATCTTTTTATCAAAGATGGTGGGGGAGCTCTTTTCATCTCTGCGTGTGCCATTTTGATTTCGAGCAACAGAAGAATGAATGAATAGATATATGAAATCAGTGCTCGTTGAATCAACCGACAAAACTTGTTTAATGTTCTTTTTATTCACTGTGTTCCGTTCAGGCGGCTCAATGGAAGCCGCCTAAGGCAATCAGGGGAGGAATACCTATCTGCTTTCCACAGGTTAGGCATCTAAAGAACATTGTTCAAGATAATCAGCAATGTATTTTTGAGGTGCCTTTCATTTGATTACTACACCAACTTTTTAGTTTGGAAATCTTGGTGCACTTGAGCAACATGGATTTGCTCGGAACAGAGTCTGGTCATTCGACAATGATCCTTCTCCTCTGCCACCTTCTAACCAACAATCAACTGTAGATTTAATATTGAGGTCTACAGAAGATGATCTTAAGATATGGCCTCACAGGTGCGTTACATCAATACAAGCAGCAACATATGTCAGCTCGGCTGATTTGTACTATTCTTCTCTTGCAGCTTTGAACTTCGTCTTCGCATTTCTATCAGTCCTGGGAAACTTACTTTGATCCCTCGCGTGAGGAACACAGACTCCAAGGCTTTTTCCTTTATGTTTGCTCTCCGTAACTACTTATATGTATCCGACATAAGGTTTGCCTACCAAATCTACTACATTTCTCCGTTTCTGTCTTGTTTTGCAATGTATATTTGATTTTGGACTCGTTAAAAGTATCGCGACTGTAACCATTGATGTTGTTGGGATTTGATCTCCTGTCTCTCTGTAATCAAATCCCCTAAATCGGATGCTCACTTTTTCTCTTTACTATATCATGTGGCATCGAATTTGCAGTGAAGTTCGTGTTGAAGGGTTGGAGACACTTGATTACCTGGACAATTTGTTGCGTAGAGAACGATTCACAGAGCAGGCAGACGCAATTACATTTGACGGTGAGGTATGTGATCCATGCCTTTTCTTTTTCCCTTTGGCTCTCCCTAAGCGAAAAGGCTGATATATATGGTCTCGGTTCCTTGCAGGTAGATAGAGTGTATCTGAACACACCAACAAAGATTGCCATTATAGACCACGAGAGAAAGAGAACCATCGAGTTGCGGAAGGAAGGCATGCCCAATGCAGGTCCATGACTTTCCTTCCACAGATAAAGGGTTTGTACTCTTTCTTTTTTTTCTTCTTCTGATGAATTCATGTTATTTCGATGTGAGAAGCTGTGTGGAACCCATGGGACAAAAAGGCAAAGACTATTGTGGATATGGGGGATGAGGATTACAAGACAATGCTTTGCGTAGATTCTGCTGCTATTGATACACCGATAATCCTGAAGCCCTTTGAAGAGTGGAAAGGCCGTCAGGAACTCTCAATCGTGTCATCGAGCTACTGCAGCGGCCAGCTTGATCCACGTAAGGTTCTTTATGGGTATCACTGATCTCTTAAGATCAAGAAATAAGCCTGGCCGTGCATCCTCTATAATAGCTATCTATGTATAATCAGATTATACTCTTTAGTTGTCCACGCCATAAAACAAACACCAAACAGGGTCCCATATGATTGCCTGGAGCTATCACTGAGGGGCAACCAGAGTAGTTTTTGGTACGTTGCCACTGTGTGAGACAGCTGGCAATGTGTTGTTTATTTTGATCCATGGACATGTTACATGATACATGAAAAATGGAACTGGAAAGGAAACTGTTGTTCCTCGATCATGTCTTTGTCTTATTGAGCCACCTGAACTGAGAGACTGTTTGATTTGAGAAACTTAAGCCAAATTTCTCTTTGGCGTCTTTGTGAAAAAGGATCATCGCCCAGATACATGGTGTGAGCTGGATGTTGTCCCATGACCCTGCCATCATAACAAAGGAATACCGGTCTGAGTTTTGAAAGTTTTCAAGTGGTAAAAATATCAAAGAGAGAGGAGATATGTTACTGGTTGGGGAGTTGATCATCCTTCTTCCCTCCAGTGAGTACACAATCACCAACCCCACCGTCGATGACTGCCTCATACGTTTCCTTTGTGGGCTCTACTCTACCTTCACTAAGCAGAATCAGCGTGGGTGGTCGCCATTGCCAAAGACAAGTGAAAGATTTCCCTTTTAAGCTCTGAATAATCGATTGTGGAGATAGTTTCGGGCTCCTATCATTAAACTATCTATGAGCGTCTGCGTTCCAATTATCATAGAATTACTTGAAGAGACGGGGGTTTGTAGGCGTACGTGTACGGTACTCGTGTTTCCTACCAATGCCCGATGAGCATTACCATTTTCCCCAAAATCAAGTAAAACCCGCAAGTAAAAATGGAATTAAAGCAGAAGCACGACTCCTCACATAGACTTTCGGGAAGCCCACTAAAAAAAAAAACATAATCTCGTTATGCATATGGGCCTCGACATCATAATACTGAATGCATCCCGAAAATAAAAATGAAAAAAAGTTGATCGCCGTTGCCGGGGATCGAACCCGGGTCACCCGCGTGACAGGCGGGAATACTTACCACTATACTACAACGACCTTGTTGTTGTAATGCTAATTCATAATATTATCTTCATAGAAACGAAACGTAACGCACTTTCCCGCTCATAGACACACCCGCTCTCACTCTAGCTCGCGTTTCTCACTCTCTCTCTATTTCTACCCGTCACTCTTCGTTTCTCTCTCCATCAAGCCTCTTAACTTAGCCTAGTGGAGAACCGGGAAGCTCAAGTTCTCTCTCTCTCTCTCACTCTCCATCCGTCTCTCTATTTCTCTGTGTCGGAAGTCATGGCGAGGTAAGCCCAAACCCTAGATCTTGATGATACGATTTCGGTGTAACCTCCTTAACCTGTTCGACGAATGGGAAAGTTTCCATCTTTTTTCTTTTTTAATGAGTCTAACGAAAAGATTCATCTTTGGCCGAGGGTGCTAAAATGGCGATTTTTCCGTGGGCTATGATTTTCATTTATCTGGGAAGAAAAATGAGGAATTTTGCTTAGAAATTTGCTCTGAAGGATAACAATCTCAGCTATTATTCTTTCCTTTTGGACATCCCGATACCTGCCTTTTGAATTCTGTTGGAGAATCTGGGAAATCAGAGTTACCCTGTTGTGTATATCCACGATATTCATGAAACTCGCCCATTTCTGGTGCCTATTGCGTGAATCTATTGTTTGAAAAAGTTAGATTGTTCATCAAATTCAGACTTGCATTTGTGGGAAGAACATGTTTTCCTTCTTCTGTTTGATGTCAACAGCGGATGTTCTGACAGAATGTTTTTTTTTTCTGTTTGGTCTCTCTGAGCTCTAAGCAGGGCCTGGATTGTGGATGGTCCTGGGATTGCGAGGAAAGTGAAGAATGCCTCTGTCTCTTCGGCTCTACAGCTCAAAGACTGCGGTGCTTATATCGAATGTCCCAACTGCACTCACCGCATTGACAACGGCAATGTGAGTTCAAAACGTGTTATCGCTATATACAATAAAAAAAAAACATGCTTAGCAAGTTCGCTCTTGTCGTTTTTTTGTTGAATTCCTCTTGTCGTTTGAGTTTTTATGGGCATTATGAACCTGGTGATTGTCTGAGTGCTATCGTTTATGATCATGAAAGCATGAGATAAGCCAGCAGTCTATATGCTACACCATCTGTAACCCTTTTGCATTACAAGGATCCCAAATTGCAACGCTTATATTGATCGATGCATTAGCAGCTTTAGGTTTCTTCTGGCGTCACTTGTCTCTTGGGCTAAAAAGCTCAGGTAATTAAACCTTGCTTGTAACTTGCTAACTGGAATATATCAACAGTTGAGTTCTTGAATCTCTAGAAACCTCCCAGTCTTAGCTGGTTTGAGGATCTACAGTGAAAAGCTCAGTAATTATGTGTTGGAATTGTGGTTTTTGTTTCAGGTGCTGATGCCATGGCCAGGCCTACCCAAAGGTGTCAAATTTGAGCCGACAGACGAAGAGATAATTGAGCATTTGGAGGCTAAGTGTGGGATCGATGGATCAGAACCTCACGTGCTTCTCGAGGAATTTATCCGTGCTGTCACTGAAGACGTTGGAATCAACTACACTCACCCAGAAAATCTTCCTGGTAATTCTGAAGATATGCTTTGGGAAAAAAGCCATGACGTCCTTGAAGATCTGCCATTTCCCAGGTTCACTGAGGGTCTTGAATTTGGTTTGCAGGTGCGAACAAAGACGGAGTCAGCGTATTCTTCTTTCACAAGACGGTTCAGGCATACGGAACCGGGCAGAGGAAACGCAGACGGATCACACCCACTAGTGTGAATGATGAACCAGTTCGCTGGCACAAGACAGGCCGGACCAAACACGTGATGCTCAATGGAGTTCAGAAGGGCTGCAAGAAGATCATGGTGCTGTACAAGAGCGCAAGGAAGGGATCGAAGCCCGAGAAGTCAAACTGGGTTCTACACCAATACCATCTGGGAACCGAGGGAAATGAGATTGGAGAGTATGTCATTTCCAAGGTCATGTATCAGCAACAAAAGCAAGGGGAGAAGAATGTGGAAGAAGAGGAAGTTCCTGAAGAAGGTGAGTGTTCCGGGGCGCAGGCCAGTCCAAGAACGCCAAAAACGTTTACTCCTGCCCAATTGAGACCTGTAAGCAGCATTGCTGGAGATGAAGAAGCTTTTGACGACACGAAGATGGTAGTTGAGGTTAGTTACCTATTCTGCAAGTAATGGCATGTCATGGACAAATGCTGCGGGTTTCTGTATAATAAATTAGTCTTTTTGAATGGACCAGGGACTGGAGAACATTCCAGAAGCTTCTTTTGGTTCGGCTGGAGAAACTGCAGCGGTTGAAGATCCTGACTTGAAGTGCAAGGAAAGCATAGAGGCATCAGCTCTCTGGAATAACCCGGAGGAGAATCCCAATTCTGGATTGGGAAATTCCCAGAACGTGTGCGGAGAACTTGAGATTGGATCAGGAAACTTTGCGATTTCGGATCTGGAGAATGCAGATCTTGGATCGCCTCCTGAATTTCTGTCCGTAAGATGCTAAAAAAACCTTCCTCTTCCACACGCAGTTTGGGTCTGCAATTTCAGAGACTAACGTTTTGTTTGTGGGACATGGATGCAGTTAGCTTCTCAGGACAGTTTGCTGAATTGGCTGGGGTGGCTGTGAAATAAGAGAGCTGAAGCCACGATCTCTCTCTGATATGCCCTTCTTCAGCAAAGGCCTCAAGCACTCGACTGGAGTCTTTGTCGGTTTTTCCAAGGAGTCTCTGCTTATGGCATGGATGATCGCTTGGTTGTTTTGGTTTTGTTAAATGTAATCAAAATCTGGTTTTTATTTTCCCAAGTAAATCCGCCATTCAAAAGCTTTATGTATATGTAATTGGCATGAACGTTTCGAATTCTGGATGGGATTCTGCAGCAAACGCAGTGTTACGAGGAACTGTCCAAAGAGTTTCAAAGCGGCATGATGCATGGGACGTTCTCAATTAAGGGGAGCTCCAGTTCCTCTGTTAGGCTTTTGTGTTCATCATCATCATCATCTATTCTCGGAAACACTTGCCCAGATGGCAACTTGGTAAGAAAAAAACGCAAAGAATCTCATGATGTAAATCACATGTACATAAGTGAAAGACAAAAGCTTATATATGTATGTATGACCTTCTCAACTAAACAGACTGACTGACTCCAGCAAAAACTCCCAGACAACCTGGGTGGTAACGGCAACAGACCACCATCATGAGGTTTTATATCTATAAAGCATACTATACACCTGGGGAGAGAAAGTGTTGATGAAAACGTACATGACTACTACCGCCATTGGCCCTATCTCTCTGAGTTATCATCGTCAGTCGTTTGTTTCTCCCAGGTTAAAATGATCTCTCTAACAACACTGGCAGCAAGTACACTTGCACTTATCAGCCACTTTCCCTCCTGCAATTACCCGGCAGCAAGTACTTGTACTTATCAGCCTCGTCGATCAGGTATGCCGGAAGATTCACAGCTGAATAAGACCTTGGGATTGGACCCATTTTCCCGATGATCTCCTTGAATGTGTATTCCTCAGGAATCATGTCAAACAGATCAGTTCCTCTGCATATCACGTCTTGGATACGTTTAGGGCTCAAGTAGTGTGAGAATCTGACCCTGTCATTGTGGCTGTAGGCTTTCATCTTGAATATGAACTCGCTGATGTGCCTGAAACAGAAACTGCAGTGCCACCCTGACTCCGATAACAGGAAGTTGCTTTGGCGAAAATGGGCATAACGGGTCTTCCCCGGTTTGTAGAGATGAACCGACGCTCTCCAGCTCTTGTTGTCAATGTAGTACTCGAACGAGTACAAATAGTTTCTCAACTGAAGATGAAGAATCGGGGGAAACCCGTCACACCATCTTAGTAGATTAATAGTGTGTGCACTCGGAATCTCATCAACATCAGACATTATCAACAAATCATCTTCTTCGATGCCTGCAAGTCTGACCAGTTGGTCCAATGCAATCCGCTGGTAGGCTTCTTCAACAAATGGGTTCTCACCCTTTTTCAACCTCCCCCCGACACTCCCATAAGTCAGTCTCGATTCAACAAATTCGAACTTCTCCCGGTTGCCTGCGAAGACCAAAGATTTTGGCAGACCGGTGAAAGTTGAATTTGATTCAAGAATCACAAACTGAGTTATAAAAGGGTATAACTCATTCCACCGAATCGTGAGCATATCAACCTCATTGCTGAATAAGACAGCATCGAAAACCCTTCTTGGTGATTCACGGATTTGCCAACCGTGGAGCCTGCAGAGTGTTTCCATGGAGGCATTCTCATGGTAGTAGTGGGGAAGCACTTGAAACTGCTTCGGAGGCGACTCCCACAGTGGTCTCAAGAAATATGTGATCTTCTGACCATGCAAGTAGATTCCGAAGATGGAGATTGGCACAATGGCAAGCAAGAATATATATGTCTTGATATCAAACCCTCTTAGAGCGCATTTCAGTCTTGAAAACGCCATGGCTGCCCGAGAACCCTGTCCCGAATGCCACCCACCAAAACATTCAGACAATTCTCTTAACAATAAGAAACTGGAGTGATGATTATGCAAAACTTTGTCAGAATTCGCTGTTATTTACTAATCACAAACTAAACCTCGTGCGAGTAGCTAACGGATAATAATTCCAAAGAAACAGAGAAAATCGTAGAAAGAAGGTATACTAATGCCACTGAAATACTCGGAAGTGCCACAATAACAGAGAGATTCTCGAAACAACGTATACGATTTAACCATCTAATAACCCCGAAAGATCTCGACAAGATTCGGATAATCCCAGAATGCCGAAGGAGTGAATTGAAAGTTGTGCCAAAAGGGAAAAAACCTAAAACATGTTCCTGATTTCACATGAAAAAATTAAAAGCAAGCGGGCAAAAACAGTTACTTCTGATTTTCTCTTGCAGTGCATCATCCTTGGTTTCAGATGAAACAATGAAAAAACTGTATATAATCGTCTTGTCGAATGCTAAACCCCTGAGGATTTCACAGACATATAGGGGGAAACCCTATGAAACGGTATATCCAATCACGATCAGAATAGGAAAAAAACGTCAAATTCCCCATATTTGTCGATTCGACTTTCCGGGAAAAAGACGAGAGAATCTCGATTTCATAAATGCCATACCCAGAGACCCAGAATACAATGGCGAACAGGTTCGAAGCACCCAGATCAAAGTAAGCAAAGAAAAAAGAGGTAATTTTTTACCCAAAAAAAAAGTAGAAGAGGAAACTCACCTGACCGCAAACATCTTCACAGATATCGTCAGTTTTTTTAGAATTTGTATAATAACCATCGGACATGATGATTATACCCAGAATTTTCTCAGGAAACTTAACAGGAATGTCGCGTTCTTCGAAGAAGAATCGAGAAACTGATGAAGAAAACAGAGAGGGCGAGTGAGAATATTGGAAGAAACCTAATTTAAGAACAAAGAGAGAAACTGGGACCGAAATTTTCTGGGTTTAAATCTATCCCTCTTATCGGGAAAAATTATAAGACCAATTATAGCCGTTTGGTGCTTTTTCTCTCGGGAATTGGTGGTATGAAAGATCGCTAATATTCTTCGCCGTTGAATTATCTGTTAATTAACGAAGAAAGTAGATTATTTGTCAGCCGTCCGATTTCGCAAACAGAGGGGCCTGATATTCATCCAACGGCCAGAGAGTCCCCTTGACGCGTTGATCTGCCGATTAATGAAGTGAATGAATTCTATCGGAATCCTAAATCTATCAGTTTACAAAAAAATCGTTGGATTTAATCTGATTTGTTTTCCGGGTATATTCTCCCACGTTCGTATTTGTAAAATGTAAATAGTATCATAGATATCACCAGGCCCACGTACGACGATGTCCGAACAGGTCTTTGAAGGGTGTTCTCCAGTTTCCCTTAATTAAAGTTTACACAAACCATGTGTTTTTTAATTGAGTTTGGAATATATGTTTTTTAAAAAAATACTACGTCATGCATTGAGGAACAGATAAGGCGTTTGTGCCTGTTTTGCTCTAAAAACAAAAGCAAAATGAAGAGCAGATCCAACAACTTCGGACCTAAATAGCCATTGAAAAATGTTTGTTCGATCTCTCGAGCCTTAATTCCGAACAAATTCCCTCGCGTGTACGTGTGTTTCTCTTCTATGTATATGTAAAGAAGTTTCTATGTGTAACCATGTCGACTAATCCCCACACCCACCACGCTTGTAAGAACATGGATTGTCCCTTGTGGTTACTTTGAGTTAGATCCAATTGGTTGTGAATTTATGCAAAACCCACGTCACCATATCTCTGGTTCCTAAATAAAAAAAAAAAAAAAAAAACAGGAACACAAGGGATATGGTCTGGTACGGTAGTTGGCCGGACTGGTGACATGTGAGAAGGCTGCACACAAATTGGATATAATCTCTTATGGACTTTTGGAAAAAGGCCCATTTGTGCTTTGAAAAGATAAAAAGACTACGATTCTGCTTACGAGGCCCATTTAGTTCACACGCCGAAAAGCCCTTTCACGTCATCCTTATTTCCCCCGTCGATTTCATTCTGCTGTTTAACGGAGATGGATCAGGATCCGAGATCTTCTGTTTCCGGCAAGCCCGCGGCGGCGATCGAGCACCGTGCCTATGCTCGGATTGGGTTCCTCGGTAACCCTAGCGACGTTTACTTTGAACTGTCGACGGTTCCTAAAAAAAAAAAAAAAAAAAAAAAACAGGAACACAAGGGATATGGTCTGGTACGGTAGTTGGCCGGACTGGTGACATGTGAGAAGGCTGCACACAAATTGGATATAATCTCTTATGGACTTTTGGAAAAAGGCCCATTTGTGCTTTGAAAAGATAAAAAGACTACGATTCTGCTTACGAGGCCCATTTAGTTCACACGCCGAAAAGCCCTTTCACGTCATCCTTATTTCCCCCGTCGATTTCATTCTGCTGTTTAACGGAGATGGATCAGGATCCGAGATCTTCTGTTTCCGGCAAGCCCGCGGCGGCGATCGAGCACCGTGCCTATGCTCGGATTGGGTTCCTCGGTAACCCTAGCGACGTTTACTTTGGCCGTACGATCTCCTTCACCATCGCCAATTTCTGGGCATCTGTCAAGCTCGAGCCTTCCGATCATCTCCTGATCAAGCCCCACCCTTTCCATGATCTCGTTCAGTTCCATTCGATCCACCATCTCGTGCGTTCTCTCTCTTCATATCCGTCTCCGAACTTGTCTTTTCTCTGCTAAAAAGTTGACTTGGTTCAGTTCGTTCTGCCGCTGTTTTCCGAGGTTCGTTTATGATTTTGGGAGCGTCAGTGCCGATCGATTGTAGCCGCACGTGTTGAAATGTAGTTGATTTTTCATGCCTATCCATTTGCGCCATATATTTCGATGCGGTGTCATGCTTCTTGTTCATTGCTAGGTTTCGCGTTTGGATTTGATTCCGTAAGAATTTTCGTGGCCTGTGTGCTGTATCATGAAAGATGAAGCAAACGTGTTGAATTTGGTAAATAGCTCAAGGTTTCATGTGGTTCATGCTTCTACTTCTGTGATCGAATTTCTCACAAGAAATTGCCCATTTCCGTCTCCTTTTTTTGCCAAGAAATGGTTGACTTACACTTCTGTAATCCTTTCAAGGTGAGTCGCTTGCAAAGCGAGGGATACTATGGTGGTGTTAGGTTGCTTATGGCGATCTGCAAAGTCTTCCGTAACTACTGCAAGGAAAATGGCATAGTGATTCATGAAGGAAACTTCAGTTTATCTTATGATACCAATATCCCTAGGCAGGTAAAACATTATCATTCTTCCCTTTTAATAGCTTTTGCTTTTGTATTATTCAGCGTGTCGGCTTAAGTGGCTGAAACTGCAGACAGGGCTTTCAGGTTCCAGTGCCATCGTGTGTGCTGCTCTTAGCTGCCTCCTTGACTTCTACAATGTCAGGCATTTGATAAAAGTGGAAGTTCGGCCGAACCTTGTCCTTAATGCCGAGAAAGAACTCGGTATTGTTGCAGGTCTACAGGACCGGGTCGCACAGGTCTATGGGGGTCTTGTTCACATGGTTAGGCCATCTTACGACTATAACACTGACATGTTCTGAGTTATACTATCTCTCATATATATATGTACTGATTCTACTTTCTGCAGGACTTTAGTAAGGATCACATGGAGAACTTGGGACATGGGATTTACACCCCTATGGATACCAGTCTCCTTCCACCTCTACATCTCATCTATGCCGAGAATCCAAGTGACTCTGGCAAGGTCAGTATCATCCACGGGCTTCTAGTTCTAGACTGCCTCATTTTACACATCTGGGCGATACACTATTCTCTCTTCTACTTTATTTTCTCTCTGAATTGTTAGTTCTAAGAGTAACATTGAAGCTAGTGTATTTGGAATTCACTGGGGCTCATATGATACATGTTTCTTTCTGATAATTAGCATTGTTTGTGCTTTGGGTGCAGGTACATAGCACAGTTCGGCAGAGGTGGTTAAACGGTGATGAGTTGATAATATCATCAATGGTAGAAGTAGCAAACATAGCAGAAGAAGGGCGGACAGCATTACTCGGAAAGGACTACTCCAAGCTCTTCGAACTCATGAACCGTAACTTTGACCTTCGAAGGTAAGAGAAACTCTTCAGATGAGAGCACAACTGTAGACACGTTTGTGTTCTGAAGGATATACACAACTGATGATTTACCTTCACTGTTTTCTGAAGGAGAATGTTTGGGGATGAATGCTTGGGAGAGGTGAACATAGAAATGGTGGAGGTGGCAAGGAGGGTAGGTGCAGCTTCAAAGTTCACCGGGAGTGGAGGAGCCGTGGTGGTGTTCTGCCCAGAAGGGCCTTCTCAGGTTAAGCTTCTCGAAAATGAATGCAAGAAATCAGGATTCATACTTCAGCCGGTCAAGATCTCCCCTCCGTGCCTCAACGATGTTGATCGCCAGACCTTATCATAAGAAGAACCCTTTGTCTCTTGAAATCCAAACAACATTTCGCTTCTTTAGCAATAGAGCTCTTGGCATTGCAGTGCAGCTATTTTCCTTACAAGAGAGAAGTTTTTATGAACTTGAAACCTATCCCCTGAACTTGAGCTTGTAACGTTCTGAACGATAGCAGAGACGACACGTCAGGAGCAGATTGAAACACAAGTGATTCAACACCAGGAATCACTTGTCTTTTTCTCTGCCGGATGACTCCCACCAACATAAATGGTTTATCTTCCATGATATCTCACAATTTATACTCCAATTACGGTAAAAGTTTTAAATCTCAGTTGAAACTTGTTGGATTAGCAAATCCGAAGCTTCTTAGGAGTTCCCAAGGAAAAAGTTTTCTTTTTCGTTGCCATTACAACGTGTCGTCTCTGATCTTCAGAAGAGAACATCTTGTCGTTTCTTCATTCATTTCTCCGCTCGGGCCTGCGAACCTGCGATAGCCGCCGGAGGGACTCATCTTTCCAGAGATTCTCCGCGCTTCATCCATGGCGAAATCTCTGCACTTCACTAGACTAATGTCTTCTTCAGCAAGAACATCGCTAACGTCTCTCTTATTCTTCTCCTTTGGACACAGGAAAGCCCGCAATCCCTGCTTCAGTTCCCTTTTCTTCTCATCTACGCCGTACCCGCTTCAGTACGACATGATCATCAACCGGCCAACCCAGTCTTCCCTCGCACAGAACCGCCGGAGACCCGTGCGTGTCAGCAAGTCTGACTCGTCGGGGCAGCTGGAGCCTGGGGAACCGGAATTCGATTCGTGGGTCGATAAGAAGCTGGCTTTGGAGCGTGAAAAAGGTCGACCTGGTTCGGAAGGTCCGGAAATGGACAAGGCGAAGAGGAAGTACTACAGCAAGAGAAGGAAAAGGCTATACGGGACGGATTCTGACGACGACAACCGAAAATCTGATGATGGGTTTGTTGAATTGAAACCGGAAGTTGTGGAATTTGACAGACTGCATCAGAGAGAAGAGGAATTGTATTTCTATGATGCATTTGCGTACCCATGGGAGAAAGATAAGCATTATAAGATGGTGTATCAGTTGGAGAAGAAGTATTTTCCCGATCAATGCTTGGATAAGGCATTCATGCAGCCCGGGGAATCCAACGCAGATACTGGAAAAGTTAGAGGAAAGAAGAAAGCTGGCGGTAGACAGAAAAACAACGTCGCCGTGAGGAACGACAATGAAAATGGTTGTGATGATGATGATGATAAAAAGTTGATGTTTTTTGATGAAGCGAAGGAAAAAAAGGAGGAGCAGAAAGATGTGACTGAGAAGAAAGTCGAACAGTTCTTCAAGTGTTTGACAAAATTCCCCAATGAGAAAGCTGTAGCCGGAGTTGGTGATGGTGAACCTTTCCTTGTGACGAGGAATGGTGAACTTCCTCCGAGGTGGGATGGTCCAAACGGTACGGTGGTTTTGATAAACAAACCCAAAGGTAAGCCATTCGCCGAATTTTCTGCCTAAGGCTGATGTGTTCAGTTGTCTCACTTGATTTTTATATTTGGCAAATTCTTGAGCATAATATGGTTTTCAGGTTGGACATCGTTCACTGTATGTGGAAAGCTGCGGCGATCAGTCAAAGTGAAAAAGGTTAATGAAGTGTATGTGATTGATCCAAATTCGAATAAAGTAGGGGGTGCCAGATGATCTCTGATAAAACTTATTATTACCAGGTGGGTCATGCTGGAACACTCGATCCCATGGCAACTGGGTTGTTGATTGTCTGCATCGGTAAAGCCACCAAGCTCGTAGAAAGGTTTGAGCTTCATCCAGATCCATTATGTTTCCCCTTCCCAATCATTATTTCAGTTCATCTGGAAATAATGTATGCAGGTATCAAGGTATGGTAAAGGGTTACAGCGGTGTTTTCCGTCTTGGTGAGGCCACATCAACTTTGGACGCCGACTCTCCTGTACTCTTAACCTCCCCTTTCCATCCTTTCGTCATCTGCATTTTCTCCTATGGATAGCTCATTGATCATTGTAGTGATCTTTCGAAATGCTCATACGTGGAATTCATTCAAACCATCATGCTGGCTGCAGGTGATTCAAAGGGAGCCTTGGGAGCATATAAAAGATGAGGACATAAAGAAAGCCATAGCCTCATTTAGTGGAGAGATATGGCAAGTACCTCCAATGTTCTCAGCCATCAAAGTAAGCATTTTTCATTCTCTAGCCAATAGGCATAATAGCCCATCTGGGTTTTAGCTTCTCTTTTTTAGTGTCCTTTTGTTTATTTTTAGGTTGGGGGAGAGAAAATGTATGAGAAGGCAAGAAGGGGAGAGACTGTCGAGCTGTCGCCCAGACGAATCTCAATTTACCATTTTGATATCGAACGTAGCTTGGATGATAGGTTCGTCTGTTCATTACTATACTCTCTGTAAATGCAACTTCATTGCATTTTTTGGTGGGCTCTCTCATTTCTCTTGTTGCAGACAAAATCTAATTTTTAGGGTTATTTGCTCAAAGGGAACATACATAAGATCCCTCTGTGCGGATCTTGGAAAAGCTCTTGGAAGGTAGAAGAAATCAAGCTGGTCCCTTTAATATACTAACTGATCCAAATCCGGAAACCGTGCCTGGAAATGTTATTCTTTATCTCTGCAATAACCAAACATCGTGATCTTTTCTCTGTAGTTGTGCTCATCTCACATCTCTCAAGCGAGATTCCATCGGTAGGTTGAGATCTTCATTCTTTGATTTGTTTCTCCAGATGGATTTTTTTAAGAAAAACATTTCTGAACAGAAATTGGTTGGAAGGGTTGTTGACTTTGATATTCTTTTGTATGGGGTTCAGGGGAATATTCAGCTAACGATGCATGGGAATTCAAAGAGTTGGAAGAAGCAATCACTAAAAACTACTTCTGATGGTCCTCAGAGATGAATGGGCAAAGTGTCATGAGGAAGAGGATCGTCGTCTGATTACTGGATGGAGGAGACCAAGAAAGGGGATTGATACAGAGATAGAGGGGTTCATGTCTGACATTGGTAAAGGTGGTTCATTTGTTTCGCAAGGGCTTATATTGGCATTGCTAACAGTTTGGTTTGGTACTCATACACAATGATGAACTAACTGGTTCAGACTCCCCAGCGTCCTAACGTTATCCATATCCATTCTTTGTATAACAACATAAATATGAACCCACCCACAAAAAAAAAAAAAAAAAAGATGAAACCCCATCTTGCTGTTTTCTGAAGACAAGAAATTGATTGGCTCATTCCAAAAACTGTTGCCTTCCATAACCCATTCATTTCGTGTCTTCCCATATATATGAAGAAAGAAGAAAAACTCCAAGACAAGAAATTTGATTACGAAGTAAAATTGCAGAGAAGAAGCCTATGCAGTTTTCTCAGTATGAAATGGGATATACAGTTTTCATATTTCTAGCAAATCATGTCCTGGTATCTTTGTGTTTTCATGAGCAGCGCCTTTGAGAAGATTGTCCCGTTGCTTCCATTGCCCTCCCCCCTGTAAAGGAAAAGCGTATCATTCCATGGTTTTAAATTCTGAAAGGATCCAAGACTTGGCAAACTCAAGATCTTATGTTGGCCTCCATGCTCCACAGCTTCTTTCTGATGATCAGAACTCTCTCATCCTTCATCGACAGCGAATCCTCTCTAGGATTCTCTTCTGTGAATAATTCGTGCCACCTCAACGCAATCAGATATTTCTTGATATGGTTTACGTAGTCTGCAGAGTCACTAATGATGATAAATCCTTCCGGACGTAAAATCCTATCAATCTCTATGAGCAGATCCTCTATGCTGCAACCTCGATTTCCAATATCGGTGAACACCCTCCATGCGTGGATAAGATCATATGTCCGTGGGTACGTAGAAAAGGCTTCACACCTGCAAATACCAAAGTCAGGTCACGAAGAAAGTTTCATTGAAACGTATTTTAAAGCTGAATATCCTTTTTTCTTCTACTCATATGGCCACGGAATCAATAGAAAATGTATCATAATTTCGTTTTGAAGGGCATACCAATCATGAGTGGTACCGATTAGGCCCCGGTCATAGATTATCTTCGATCTCTCAGAGGATTCCACAGGCGCAACATTCATGACCCAGACATCTTTACGGTTGAGAGCAGCCGCAAAACCACCCAAGTTTGAGTTCATGTCCATCACATTTCTGACCGAATTTTCATGCACCACAGGTTTCAGCTGTTTCCAGTACTCCGCCACTCTAACCCGCCATACTTCCTGCAGTCACAGCAATACTATTATAAAGCTTGGTATTATTGTTCCCAGGATCTGAGTTAGTGAAGTTCTGATTTGATTTGAAAGAATAAAGTAGAGAAAATTCACAGAGTATTTTACCGTGTCTTCACGAAATTGCTGAGGAGTTACACCGACTTCTTCAAGACGAGGAGGATGAGTTATCAGTCTCCGTGGCCAAGGAACAAGTCCACTCCATCTTTCTTTATGCATTTCTGTGATGTAAAACAAACTGAATGAGATAAAACATCCACCAAGACCGATAAAACTTCTCCTTTGTCAATGTGTACTTACTGGGTGAGTAAGGAGTGATGCATGCCTTCATTGATACATTCCAAGAAGCGTCAGGGTCATCTCCGGAAGCGCAGAGAGGGGGATGTACCCCATCTTCTCTCTTCAAGTAACAGCTGTTTGATAATGGTTTTGCCCAAATAACAGTTTGGTTCCGCTTGGACACAACCCTCCAACACATTCTCTTGAGGAGATGATGCATTGCCATCCCTATCCTTCTGTTTTCTGGGTCATGTGCATAAGCTTCAGGCGATGAATAAACAAAGTAGCCACCTGGTCTGAGCAACCTATCAAGTTCCAGTAACAATATCCCATCTCTCTGGAGCCAGTCTATACGACATCTTGAGCAGTGGGCAAGTTCAAATGATCTGCTCGGGTATGGAAGCCGTTTTGTCCCAAGAACCCCGAGTGTTGAGGGTATCCCTCTTTCTAGAGCAAATTGGATCTGGTTCTCATGGACATCGTTTGGCGCAATGGACATGGCTATGATATCGTGTGAAAGAAGATATGCCCCGAAACTAGCAACCCCACAGCCAACATCAAGAACATTCCTTACACTTCCGCCATTGTTGAGCTTGTCTCTAGGGAATTTCAGCATCTACATCAATCATTTTTTTTCATCTGTAAGAATGACTTGAAAAAAACAGAGCCAAGAGATTCTTTTTTAATCACAGAAGTATGCTCCTTATTTTCGGAGCAAAAAATATATACCACATAGTTGCAAGAAAAAACTGAAAGTTTTTACCTTTTGGCTAACTAATAAACTTCAAATCGCTACCTTACCACGTTATCTCTGTATAATAATATCATACAGACCAAACCTGTAAGTAGCTTTTGGACTGTACTTCTCTTGTTCTTCTCTCCCGAGTTTAAAGGAATGGGGAATTAAGGACAACGAAAGTAAAAACTATCACAGTGAGTAACTTGCATAGAAAGAGCATATTGGTAATATCAATTTTCACACACTTACATGCATCCCTGATATAAACTTCCAGACAGATGCAAATTCGAAAAATCAAAATACTACTAACAATGTAAACGAGTGCTACACCATTGGTTCTGCCCTTCCCTCTTCCCTAAGATTCAATAACGCATAGAAAAAGCACCTGAGCAAGAGAAACTATGTATTTGTCAGCTCCGTAGTGGAAATGTGTTCCTCCACCGGGAAAATTTATCTTGTCACCATTGACAACCATCCAATTCTGATCAGATTTCTCATGCGCAAGGTGTGTGTGTGGGATATTCGCCTTCCACACTTCATCTCTGCTTGTTGGCCATCTTATGGGGATCTGTAAAACTCCATAAAAACCTTCTTTCAACCGTCAAAATCACAGTCTAACATATCCAGGAACGCAAAAAAAGAACTACAGCATAGAAGAGATAAGGCCCGACTCTATAACCAACAGGGGGCGGAACCAAGCAGTTGAAACGCCGTTCTGGAGGAGGGCAGTGGCGCTCATAGTGCTCCATCAGGGTTAAGTTGAGTTTTAGCTTCAACTGGTAGTGTAGGTTTCTGTCCAAACACGGTATCAGCTCCGAGAGTGTCATATCACATACCTGCAATAGATTTTGTTTTCACAAAGATCAAAACTTAAATCAACACAACGCCGCAGGACGCAAAAAGTTCAACATGAAAACCTTCCTAAAACCAAGGGAGCTCACTAGATTCACAAAGATTCCTCCCCAAGTTTGCATAAACTCGGAAATATCATTTTCCCAGAACCTCCAGTTAAGTTAAGCAATAAACATGTCGAATTCTGAAACTTTCACAGGATTGGGCTTCAGAGACGATGAACAACTCAAGATTAGATGAACAGCAAAGGGAAAGGAAACGAACAGGAATGCTTCTGGGAACTTGGAAGTTGGCCAGTCCAAACATGGCATCCCGATTACTGGAAAATCCGACGGGAATCGGGTCGGAACCATCGAATCCATCGGACTTTCTGGACCCGGGAGCGAAGGATGAGCCGTAATACATGCAAGCCAAGCCGAGAACCGCGATGAACCCGACTAGAACGTAGGTGAGAAGCTTCGGGGCGCGAACTCGCTCGCCTCTGTTGTGCTTCATTGTCCCCTGATCCGGATTCGGATCCCGATCGACCCAACCCGACCCGAAATCAGCTGCCAGGGAAGGATAGTGTGAAGCGACAGTAGATTCCCGCGAGGAAGAGTAAGCAGAGGCAGAGACCACTGTCGGAGAAGCGGAGGGGAAATTACATGCAACCGGAACTATAGCTTTTCGGTGCTCCCTCACCTGTGGACGAATGAAATTAGAACACGTGCCAAACCGATCGAGCCGAGCCCACCGCAGTATGGGTTGACAAATCTAAACTTTGGGCTTCATTGTTTATGGGCCTTATCCGATGGGTTGTTTTGAAAAAAAAAAGTTATTTGGATTAACCTAATATTACCATTGAAATTTGAAACTTATAAAGTAGATTAATTGGTGGTGAAAAAAAAAAGAAAAAAAAATCATAATGTACAATGTACATAATCCAGGCATAGAAAACGATTCAATAGAAAGACTCAGTGAATGAATATTCAACGGTACAAAAGGGAATATATTTTCAATTTAAAAAGATGAAAAAGGAAAAGCCTGTGGCAATCATTCATTATGATTCGCATGTGACACTTGCTTCCAATTCTAAAGTAATCAAGCATGACAATCATCGGCATT